CCAGGCTTTATCATTGTAGTCACACATAACATTTATCCTAAGTGCTCCTGCAAAAAACAAAATAAATAAAAAACTTTATTTCAGTTTCCCACTACCAAAAGTTTCCTCCTGTAATAACACTGTAAACATGTTCATGATGGACCCAGTTCTCCCAACTCCCTTCTCCAGCACACATGGTCCATGATGTTTGTGTCACTTTAAGGACATGTCCTGCCTTCAGACAGATCATAACTCCCAAGAGCACGAATAATGCCTTGTATTGTTTGTCTTCTCAGCACCCAGGATTGACACCATGCACTTTGGAGACATTCGATCTCCTCATCAAACATTCAGTCTCCTCATCGAAGCCTCCTAATCCAGGCTCACCACTCCCCAGCTCTCCTAGATAGAGCCTGGTTCTATATTCTCCTTGGACTTCAGCATTAGTGGTTGCTTAAATCTCAATTAATAGCCCCAGTTTATAGAGATTGAAAACTTGCTAAGAGCAATCCAGTCACATGGTCCATTTCATCAAGAAGTAGATTTACTATAAAACTATCAAACTTTAGGTTTCAGGGCTGTTAATATGCATAGGCCCCAGTTTCAAGGCCCTTGGGACAGGGCCTATCAATGTATTCACATGGCTATGTGTTTTTGTAAAATATTCAAAGTAAGATATTTTAATTTTGATTATCTCTTTCCATTTCGACTCCTACTACCTCTTACCTCCCCCCATACTGAGAGTCACTGGAGTGACCACAGGTGTTATTGGGCTCTGGCTTAAGGGAAATTGAGGGGGTTGTGTTTACATGAGATATATTTATGTGGCTTGATATCATTTTCATATACAGTGAAGTGATTGCTAGCCATCCACATACAGCAATGACTTCCAGGAATGCTTCTACCATCAAGAGTGGTAACCCAGCCAGACACTGCAACATGAATGTGTCAGGTCAGGGATAGTGTGAGCATGTCCTACAGTTTCCAATACCAAAACTATGTAGGCAGTGAGAGAAAACAAAGTTTACATGCCAGAAGCTACTCTGTGTAAAATTCTTCCACTCATCAGACATGTAAAACTGAAGTGCAAAATTGGGTCCTCATTGAGGCCTAGTCAAGCAGAAATTTCCTCTTGGTGGGCATTTATTTGATAGCACAGCATTGAAAATCAGAAATGCATGATACATTTTTTTTCATGGAAATCACACAAAAGAGAATTAATCCAAATTATGTCTTTAGAGTACAAAAGTGTAAAGGTACTACAAAGAGTGAGTATGTCTATAACAACTCATATATGAAAGAAACTGTTTAGCAGTTTCCCACTGAATTTGACAATAAGCTGAAAAACATATTTTCAATAAAAATTTGGAAGTTAAAAAAATCAGTCAACCATATTAGAGGAAAACTAGCTTATTTTTCTAGTTTCTCTAGAGAAGACAATATTTCCATATTGCTTTCACATGAAGAAGTGACCGAAGAGTATTTAGTCAAAAATGTAAAAAAAAAAAAAAAAAAAAAAAAAGTATTATGGAGGTGCATTGGGCAGTCAATTAGATATCATATTTCTGGCAGTTTTTATGTTTTAGTATTTGCCAGCCCTTTTAAGTTCTAGCTTTCTTGTGATTCCTTTTTTCCTTCTAAATAAGTAAATATTCACTCTCACACCTAATTTAGAATACTTCTTTTCTTTCTTTCTTTTTTTTTTTTTTTTTTTTTTTTGAGATGAAGTCTTGCTCTGTTGCCAGGCTGGAGTGCAGTGGCATGATCTTGGCTCACTGCAACCTATGCCTCCCAGCTTCAAGTGATTCTACTGCCTCAGCCTCCGGAATAGCTGGGATTACAGGCGAACGCCACCAAGCGTGGCTAATTTTTATATTATTAGTAGAGATGGGGTTTCACCATGTTGACCAGGATAGTCTCAATCTCTTGACCTCATGATCTACCCGCCTTGGACTTCCAAAGTACTGGGATTACAGGCGTGAACCACCACAATTGACCGTTATTCCATTTCTTTTTTTTTTTTTTTGAGACAGAGTCTCGCCCTGTCGCCCAGGCTGGAGTGCAGTGGCTGGATCTCAGCTCACTGCAAGCTCCGCCTCCCGGGTTCACGCCATTCTCCTGCCTCAGCCTCCCGAGTAGCTGGGACTACAGGTGCCCGCCACCTCGCCCGGCTAGTTTTTTGTATTTTTTAGTAGAGACGGGGTTTCACCGTGTTAGCCAGGATGGTCTCGATATCCTGACCTCGTGATCCACCCGTCTCGGCCTCCCAAAGTGCTAGGATTACAGGCTTGAGCCACTGCTATTCCATTTCTTAAAGAAGGCCTCACATTGCATGCACATCAGGCCCTAAGAAGCCTGGATCATCCTCTACTACCAAGATATTGAAAGATGTGCATAAGAAGTATAAGCAAGAAGTCGGTTTGTGTCTTGCTTTGTTTTTATCTTGGTTCAGCTAGCAAATGTGGAGAGTGTCCTTCAGGTGTAGGCAGAGTTTCATTTAGTAGCCTAGAATGGGTGAAAAGAGAGTTCATCCTCAGAGAACTAAAGAAAATATTGGAAGGCAGACAAATTGTTACTATAAATGCCTTTCTTTGCTTTCTGGTCTCTGCTTTGCCCTCTCCCACTGTGATGCAGGATAATAAAAGCTTTGTCATGCCCAGGGGCAAGGTAATGGGCCTTTCTTTAAGGTGAATGGAAAATCTTGTCATCAATTCAATATCTCCAGTCCCAGTTGCATGTTATTAAAAGTCCCCGAGCACTGATGGATATTGAACTAGTTTTCCAAGGGCAAAGTTTCAATTATTATATGAATATTTTCAAACTTCCCTAGATCATGAACTGCTTCTGAGCTCCATCTTCTGTTTATGCTTCCATTCGCACTGTCTGCAAAGGGACTCGTGCCGATTTCTTCCTGTTTTTCTATCTTATTAACGCAGAGTAAAAAGAACTTCTGATGAGAGTGTGGGTCCTTTTATGCCCTTTCTTCCCCCTAATGCCCATCAAATTATCAGAAACATTCGGGGTCCCTGACTTCCCGCAACACAAGTTATTCTTAACAGGCACTTGGTGCACCCTAGGGTTACACTTCAAGGATCTCATGAGCCCATGAAACTTGAAGCAATCTCTTATTCTTTGGGACTAAAGCAGACATGATCTTTATACTTCTGTTTCAGTTTTTAAGATCATTCTCAAAACCTTTCCATTATTTTTTTAACCTCAAAAAGAAAAAAGATGGACTAAGAAACCATGACCCCAAAAAGTAACTAAGATCAGAAATCCCCATATATTTGCAGGCATCTGAAAGTTCAAATGTCTAACTAAATTCCAGGTAATTAATGTTCTCAGTTTTGAATCATCAAATCAACTTGTTAGAAATAAAAACCTTTGGATGATTTTTAGCAAAGTATTAAAGAACTTCATTTGCATCTTCTCATGTAGCACAAACCTAACTAGACCTAATAACCGACACTTCCCTTCCTCTAGGCCTGCCTGCAATCAGATTCTCTTATTCTCTGTGGCTTGACAGCGTGTTACACCTTCTCATCTGAAAGTATTAATCATGTTGTCTGTCCAACCCACTAGTGATGGTCCCCACCCATTCCCTATCCAACAAAAGTCTTTTTATCTTTCAAACACATAGCTAACCTCTTTGAAAACTTTAACTTTCTTTTCTCCAACCCCATCTGAATGCTCGTAGTGGTTTTCTAACTATGTGATATGTTTGGGATTTAAATTACAGGCATGAGTCACTTATTCTTGGGGACATGTTATGAGAAATGCATCATTAGGTGATTTTGTCACTGTTTGAACATCATAGACTGTACTTACACAAGTCTAGATGGCATAGCCTACTGTACCCCTAGGTTATGTGGTATAACCTATTACTCCTAGGCTATAAACCTGGACAGCATGTTTCTGTCCTAAATACCACAGGCAACTGAAACACAATCCTTAAATATTTGTATGTAATGATTATGTAAACATAGAAAAGGTAAAAACAGTAAAACTACGGTATTATGATCTTAAAGGACCACTGTTGTATACGTGATCAGTTCTTGACCAAAATGTTGTTCATTATGCAGCATATGACTTGATAACAATGTTTCATTGTTGTTCAGATTTATTGTTTAATATCATGGCTATTGTTTTTAGACTAACCCATTCAGACATTTATCCAAGATGGCCAGCAAAGTGGCAAATAGTATAACAAGGTAAAATAAAGTCAAATGAACTAAAACAATGTGGCAAAGAGGAGTCCTGGCTTATTAGGCACTATATTAAAAGCGGGTGGAGAAAAGGAGCAAAAATGAGAAGTGGAAAGGAGAAAATAAAGAAAAGTATTTATTGCAATTACAAACAGCCTTAGAGCATGAAAAGTTATTTTTCCTATTTCATGAGAATTGATAACACCTTATAAACTTGAAGATTTTGTTGTAACTGTTCTATTCGCTCTAATACAAGCAGACCTTTTTAGTATGTTGGGCCATAAAAGGAAGAGGGCATTTGTTGTAACCAGTGGGAAGCTGAGTAGGGTGTTGGAGAGCTATTTAGAGGCTCCAAAGTGAAATGACTATTTCTTTTTTTCTTTTTTTTTTTTTTTTTTTTTGTGATGCAGTCTCACTCTGTCCCCAGGCTGGAGTGGGCACAATCTCGGTTCACTGCAACCTCCACCTCCCGGGTTCAAGCAATTCTCCTGCCTCAGCCTCCCGAGTAGCTGGGACTACAGGCGTGTGCCACCACCCCCGGCTAATTGTTGTATTTTTCATAGAGATAGTGTTTCACCATGTTGGCCAGGATAGTCTCAATCTCTTGACCTTGTGATCCGCCCACCTTGGCCTCCTAAAGTGCTGGGATTATAGGCATAAGCCACCATGCCCGCCCTGAAATGACTATTTCTATGCCAAACTGTCTAAGATGTGGAAGATTCCCAAAGCATTTGCCCCAGCTGATTCCGGCTTGCTTTCTTCTAAAAAGACAGTCAGGTTTTGACTCTAATGTACTATTTTTGCCCTCTTTCCCAGGTCTGCTTTGTGAATCTTGATGTGAACAAGGATGAATGCAGCACAGAGCACCTGCAACAGGTAACATTTGAAACTCAAGCTGTCCAGGAGGTGATTACAAGGACTATTCAACTTGATTTCATCTGTAAATAATGCTCATTTTGTAGGAGACTCTTTGGTTAGATAGTTTCATTACAGTCCATTTCCCCAACCCTTTCCCTAGCACTTACCCTCTACAGTTTGCCCTTTTTACTTTTGTGAAACTTGCTTTCCCATGTAGGCAGAACTGTCCAAGCAGGCACACATCCTCTTGCCCATCAGTGCCTTAAAATGGCTATTTGTAGATGACTTTTCCAAGATTTTTCCAAACCTGCTGATACCAGCCAACCCTCCCCTCTGTCTCTCAGATTTGCTTCTTCCTGCTGCTTTCATCAAATGTTCTATCTGTACCCGTGGCTTGAACGTTTTGCATCCTGTTGCAGCTAAATTCCCCAAGCACATCCAAGGCCGTGAGGGCCCTGATGTAAATGCTTGACAGTACGCAAAAACTTGAAGATCTATTCAGTCCTCTGGAACTAGAGCCTGCTGATACAATGGGAATAATTAAGTGCTGTAATAAGGTTGCCATTCCATGCCAAATGCTGACAATGGTTTGAATTTACCATTTGGTGTAATACTGTTTAATGTATAACAGCACACGATTTGCCACTTGATTTTCACCGAACAGTAGACCTGCAATTACTCGGTTATTGACAGTTATTCCCATATTGACAATGCTGTACTTCAAGCTTCTCAAACCCAGTTTCCCACACTGCTAATCTATTACACATTTTCACCAAGCCCCAAATATCATCATCTGTATAGTCCTATGGGATTTTCAAAAGAAATTGCACACATAATTTTATTTGATAGAATTATGGTGCAGAGTTCATCAGACAGCAGGGAGGGCCAAAGCAAGTTGGCATCTAAGAGTAGCGTGTTTGAAGAGTTTATGTGCGTGATTTGAAATAATCATCTGTTATGGCTAAGAGCATACCTTGGCACTGATGTAGCTACATGAACTGAGCAAGTTACTCATCTCTGGACCTGAGGCTGCTTGTGGATAACATGAAAGGAATAATGGTACCTAATCCATATAGGATTGTTGTGAAGATTAAGTGTAGTCAGATTTAACCCATATACAGGCTCTAGCATAGTGCTTAGTATATAGAGTAAAATCAATGCTAGTCATAATTTTATTATAATTATTATTATTGAAAATTAGAACAGGAGATGTATTAGTTCATTTTCACACTGCTGATAAACACATACCGATACTGGGCAATTTACATAAGAAAGAGGTTTACTGGACTCATAAGAAGGAGGTTTACTGAACTTACAGTTCCACATGGCTGGGGAGACCTCACAATCATGGTGGAAGGCAAGGAGGAGCAAGTCACATTTTATGTGGAAGGCAGCAGGCAAAGAGAGAGCTTGTGCAGAAAACAGTCCTGCTTTTTAAAACCATCAGATCTCATGAGACCTGTTCACTATCACGAGAACAGCGTAGGAGAGACTTGCCCCCATGATTCAATCATCTCCCACCAGGTCCCTCCCACAACATGTGGGAATTATAGCATTTACAAGATGAGATTTGCACGGGGTAACAGAGCCAAGCCATATCAGAAGATTATTAGTAAAAAAAAAAAAAAAAAAAAAACTTTTATGCAAGGTCTTTAAAGGGAACATTTTTCCAAGTTACTATTTATACCTGTGGTAGGATAGTAATTACTATCCTAATGTTTACTTTATGTTTACTTTGTAAAATGTTTAGTTTCGTAAAATATAGAAGTAAAGAATTTTTAAAGTTTGTATTTTCTCTTTCAATAAACTTGCATGCTTCCATTTTATGAAATTTCTTCTAGTAAGAATCTTAGTAGATTAAGCAATCTATAGTATGAGCAGTTGTGAGTATTATTTCCGAAGGTAAAGTAGTTTGTGAGTAGGATATGGTGAAAAGAAATCAGCTAAACTAATAAAGATTCTTGCTTTACAGAAACTGGTCAATGTTTCACCAGATCTTCCAAAACTTATCAGTTCCATGAATGTCCAACAACCAAAAGAAAATGAAATTGTTGTCCTAAGTGGATTAGCCTCTGGAAATCTCCAGGCAGATTTTGAAGTTTCACAGGTAAGACGTAAGTTCTTGATAAGCCATTCACTTAAATCTAGAGTTAGCTCAGCACAGATCAGTGTAACCCCCAAATAAACGCTACATATAAGCTTCTGTAACATAGGAATCAAAGTGTCTATATATTTGAGAAATGTCTGCATTTATATTTCTCTTAAATACCACCACTTAGAGTTTGACAGAGCTTTTATTACATCAACTCCTAATTTCTATTGTCTTCTCAAATTCCTAAGTTGTATTTGAACTAGAACAGATAGAGTAGGCATTGGTTACTTAGCTTGGTTTTCTACAAATCTACTGGAAAAATGAAAACAGAACTGTCTCCTCTTTTAGGAGCAGTACCAAAATTCTATTTCAGAATCCCACAGTATCATCTTTCAGATGTTATGTATTCCTTAGGAGGTACCAAACTAGCCAAGCTAGTAAATCCAGAATGGCAGCTTCAAGGATGGAAAGAGAGTGTCTTGGGCCCAACGAATAAAATATCCCTCCTCCAAAACAAATGTTATTAAAAATAAAGCAGTAACTAAAATACTACTATTATCATTCAGTGCACTCATGTGCACTCCTACTATATAAATCACTATAACATTATTTATTTAAAGACATGTAAGTAAAATTGTTTAATTTACGAGAAAAATGCACATAAAGTATGTTACAGTGATATGTAACAGCTCCAGATTAAAATGATGAGCATTTGTTTTCCACAAATTGTTCTTCCTTGGGTTTTAATTTCATTGTCCATTTTTAAAGTCTTATTTTATCCTTCAACTCTTCAAAATATCAAAAAGCCCCAAAGTCTCCAAATCTCAAGAAACATAATACAGTGTGATAAATCAATTAATAAATGAGGAGGCTTTATTTCCAGGTAATCAGATCTTCCTGACTTTGTAGCTACTAACAAGGTTTGTGTCCTATAAATTTTACATGAATCCTAGAGTGAAGACTTTATTCCCATTTTCTTTTTAGAATACGCATACTTTTTAAAAGCTGCCTCTGCATTATAGAACAATTTTCCTAGCTTTTGGCAAGTATAGGTATTACTGAGAAATTCCAGCTTTCTTTCAATATCTCTATGAAAATTGGTATTGACATTAATTGGACTTGACCTTGAGTTTAACTTACTAGACCCTGATTAATCCCAGTTAGATTCTTAATTAAACATGGCAGAAAATTAGCTTAAACAAAAAGAGAGCATATGGTTTCATGTAACCAGAAAAATCCAGGAGTAGATTAGAGACTTAAAAACAATGTCATCAAGACATGGATTTTTCTCTTGTGGCCTCTTTCCTGTTTTCTCTCCATTGACCCCATTATCAGACAAGCTCCTCCTACAAGGAAGCAATATCCCTTTGGGTTCAAGTCAGGAAAGTGTGAATGGAACGTCATTTCCAGGTGGTTTTCAGCAAAAGCCTCATTGCATCCTATTGGCTCTCAAATGTCACATGCCCATCTCTGAACCAATCACTATGACCCAAGGAATGCATCATTCAGATTGGCCAGGCTTGAGTCACATGATCACCTCCGGAGCTGGAGGTGAATCAACTCCACGTGAATCACTTGGACTCTGGTGAGGTTGACTGACTGTTAGTATAGTGTGCCCTTCTCCCCAAGGCAATTGTCTGATTCATGTTTGCACCTCGTTGCATAATTTGCATACAATAGGCACTCGGAAAATACCGGGTAAGTTTCAGTTTAGTGTAGTGTGTCTAAACTCAGTGGAAAGAAAATTAAGCCAACTTCTTACTCTACAACAGCAGTTCCTCTCCATTTGGGGGATCACAGATACTTTGTAAATTCAATAAAAGCTATAGACCAGTGGGTCTCAAATGCTAATGCATGTACCCATTACCAACAGATTCCTTGGAAACGCAGATTCTGATTGAGTAGATCTGGGTTGAGGCCTGAGAGTAAATATATCCAACAAGCTCCCAGGTGATGCCATGGCTGCAGGTCCATACCCACACTTAGAAAAACCAGGCAATGGACCACCTTCTTTGAAAAATAGACCTAATCACATATGCATACAGGGGAATTCAATTTTTGAGCCCCCAGGGGATTCCTGAACCCCTTGGAGAAGGATTGAATTCTTCATTTTATAATCATCTCTCCTAGAATTATTGGAATCTTTTATTACTATTCCAATGGCAATAAATAATATGAATAGTGAAAATGTGTAGTGGAGAATGAGGATATGGTTTGTAACCCTAGAACTGAACAGAATTAACAGGTCTAACTAGTACATGATTCTATAATTTGGGCCTCTTTATCACTGTTCTTACCATACGCTGGTCTTTTAGAGATAATTAGTTCACTTCCTATGGATTTCATTTAATTTCATGTTGACTGCTTCTTCAGATAAACAATACAAATTATAGAATCTAACTGTAGTTGATAGAACACTTACCGTACATCTGAAGTGCTAGTGGAGGTCTCACTGAGTATCTTCAAGGCAGAGAAAGATACTGGTCTGACAAACTGGGACTCAATTCAATCAAGAGAGGTAACCAAGACAGCGTTGACATTCCCTTAAGCTTGACCAAAATGTGGACAGGCTCCTTCCTGACTCTAGACCCTGACTTCCCTTTTCTTAGAGCATTTAATCTAGAACATTTATAATTGCAAATTCCTCTGCCTTTTTGAGAGGTAAATCATTTTGTAAAAGCCTCTTGCCAGCTTTATACCCAGAAATGTCTTTCTCAAGGACCTGGGAGCTGTCTCGTTGAAATGTAATCATCAAGGAAGATAGTTCCCTTAATGTCCCCAGTCTTTATGGGAGCGTAAGAACCTAACTTCAGTGGGCATCTTGCTCCAGGTTGTAAAACCACCTCCTGTCAAAAAGATACAAGAAAGTTTACTGTTTCTTTGGGTAAAGCCAATGATCAAACACAGATGACCTAAGATCTGCCCCATCACTCTAGCCCTTAAAAACCCTATTGCCTTTTGTTCAGTGGAGTTGTGGTCCAGCTTAATGCTGGCCTCTCTTCCCTATTTTAATAGCCTTGAATAAAAATCTTCTTTGCCTGTTTAACTTTGCCCAGTTCAATTTTTGCTTTGACCAAGGGGAACTAAAATATGTGATAAGCCGATCTATTTTCCCCCAAGTCAGGCTTTCTCCTAGGTACCTTGTGTTCCAAAACATCACTTGAATTTTTTTCAAGCAGTTTATTAATATAATCCCAGAAGACATTTCACATATTTTAAAGGTCCCCACTCCTATTAACAGGGGAGCTTAGTGGAAAAGGAAAGGTCAGAGGCAATAGTCTTTTATTTTCCCTTTTGAATAAATGCCTTCTTTTCTCTCCACTTTTAGTGCCCTTGGCTGCCAGATATCTGCTTGGTCCAGTGTGCAAGAGGGAACAGACCAAACAGTACCAATTGCATCATCTTTGAAATCAACAAATTTCTGATTGGTCTGGAACTGGTGCAGGAGCGACAGCTCCACCTGGAAACAAACATCTTAAAACTGGAGGATGACACGAACTGTTCCTTATCCTCAATCGAGGAAGACTTTCTCACTGCTTCTGAGCACTTGGAGGAGGAAAGCGAGGTGGATGAATCTAGGAACGGTGAGAACTTTCTAATTAGTGCCTCCTGAAATTAGTCCCCATATAAAAATGTCTGGGTGGGATTTGAGAAAAGTTCCAGGCCACATCAGTTTGGCTGACACATCACAATTTTTACTTGCTGAATTTTAAGGAAGGAAGGAAGGAGGATATGAGAACACTGGTGAAGATGCTGACAAACACACTTAGCAGATTTAATGGTTGGATGGATCCAGACTCCCAAATGATGCCTTAGGGATGCTGAAGGGAATTTGTGTACTTTAAAGGTAAATCCTCCTGCCTGCCAAGAGATGGAGGCAATCACTGGGAGGAAAGTTAACTTCCCTAAGACTTCCATAAAAGCCGTATATTAGTTAGATCCAAGTTGGACCAGCCTGGGCTTGAATCCCAGCACTGCCACATTGAGGCTGTGAGATCTGGCGCCAGTCATCTAATCTTTCTGAGCCTAGTTTCTTTGTCTAATTTGGGAGTGCAATCATGCCTGTAGCTAATGATTTTTGTGAAGACAGAAAGAGGTAATCCAGGAAAGTGTTTAGCACTCATTTCTTCAGCTCTTTCTGTTGACCCACTCACAGAGCTCAATGAACAATGTGTTCCTCCTCCCCACTTTTAGGCACAGAGGAAGGGGTACCCCAGATGTTATTGCCACTGTCTCTGGGACAAGTCTCATGCAAATTTTAGAACAAATCTTTGCAACAAGTCCCACTACTGAGCTTGCTGTAAACATCCTCCCTTCTCTCTTTGTACCCAATGGGAAGCTCTAAGATGCACCTGTCTGCATTGCTTTCCCCTGAAGAATGGTGGCAACCCTCAACCCTCAAACACTTCCTACTTGCATTTGTATCCCACATGGAAAGCCATTTTTTTGGGTGGCATTCTGTCATGAAACTTGAAAGCCTTTTCCGATTCATTTTTCTTGAAGAAAAACATTCAAAATGTTATTCTTGAAGGGGGAAAAAAGTTGATGCTTTATTTTTATTTATTTATATTTATTTTTTATTATACTTTAAGTTCAAGGATGCATGTGCACAACGCGCAGGTTTGTTATATAGGTATAGACGTACCATGTTGATGTGCTGTACCCATTAACTCATCATTTACATTAGGGTATATCTCCTAATGCTATCCCTCCCCCCTCCCCCCACCCCACGACAGGCCCCAGTGTGTGATATTCCCCACCCTGCGTCCAAGTGTTCTCATTGTTCAATTCCCACCTATGCGTGAGAACATGCGGTGTTTGGTTTTCTGTCCTTGTGATAGTTTGCTCAGAATGATGGTTTCCAGCTTCATCCATGACCCTACAAAGGATATGAACTTATCCTTTTTATGGTTGCATAGTATTCCATGGTATATAAGTGCCACATTTTCTTAATCCAGTCTATCATCGATGGACATTTGGGTTGGTTCCAAGTCTTTGCTCTTGTGAATAGTGCCGCAATAAACATACGTGTGCACGTGTCCTTATTGATGCTTTACTTTTAGAAAGTAATTATTACTTAAGACTTATGGTAACCTGCTATCCAAAAAGTAATAGTGCCTCTCATATTCTCCTCACTAGGTTATGAAAATATAAATGTCTCAGCCAATGTTTTGGAAAGTAAACAGCTAAAGGGAGCCACCCAGGAGGAATGGAATTACAACAAGGAAAAGTGGCGTTATGCTTTGGAAGACAAATACATCAACAAATATCCCACACCATTGATTAAAACAGAACGATCTCCAGAAACCCTAACAAAGAACACAGCCTTGCAGAGTCTAGATCCCTCAGCCAAGCCATCACAGTGGAAAAGTGAAGCTGTAGGGAATAAAAGAGAAGCCACCCATTATTATTATTCAGAAGATTTTAAAGGTCAAATGGAAAAATCACAGGCACTGTATATTCCAAAAGATGCTTATTTCTCCATGATGGATAAAGATGTACCTTCTGCATGTGCTGTGGCTGAGCAGAGAAGCAACCTAAACCCAGGAGATCATGAAGACACAAGAAACGCTCTCCCTCCTGTACAAGATGGAGAAGTCACCACTGGCAAGTATGCTACAAATTTAGCAGAATCCGTGCTGCAGGATGCGTTTATTAGATTATCTCAGTCTCAGCCCACATTACCCCAGGAATCTGCAGTCAGTGTTTCTGTAGGAAGTTCTCTGCTTCCCAGTTGCTATTCCACAAAAGATACAGTGGTTTCTCGGTCATGGAATGAGCTCCCCAAAATAGTCGTCGTTCAGAGTCCAGATGGCAGCGATGCTGCCCCCGAGCCAGGCATCTTCTCAGGGCCTGAGATGGAAGCCTCTGTTGAAACCTCAAGTCTCCTCTCTGGAGAGAACCCCAGCAGACAATCCCAGAGTGCTCTAGAAGTGGCGTTAGCTCGTGCAGCCACTGTGATTGGAACCATTTCCAGTCCACAGGCCACAGAAAGACTCAAAATGGAGCAAGTGGACTCAAACTTTCCACTAGAGGGCAGTGGTGCACTGCAAACGCAGGCACCCCAGGGACTCAAGGAACCTTCCATCAATGAGTACTCCTTTCCATCTGCTTTGTGTGGCATGACTCAAGTGGCCAGTGCCGTGGCTGTCTGTGGTCTAGGTGAAAGAGAAGAGGTGATGTGCTCAGTGGCTCCAAGTGGTGGCCTCTCGCCTGCAGCTGAGGCTTCTGAAGCCATGCCCCCACCTAGTAGTTTAGCAAGCATGGAGCTTGGCAAGGAAGCCATTGCTGAGGGATTGCTCAAGGAGGCTGCTCTGGTTTTAACAAGGCCTAATACCTACAGTAGTATTGGAGACTTCCTGGACTCCATGAACAGGAGAATCATGGAAACTGCTTCAAAGTCTCAGACCCTGTGCTCAGAAAATGTCCTCAGGAATGAACTGGCACATACCCTGTCCAATGTTATCCTGAGGCATTCCATTGATGAAGTTCACCACAAAAATATGATAATCGACCCCAATGGCAACAGGTATTCATCTGAAATTCTGGACACCTTAATGGAAAGTACAAATCAACTGCTTTTCGATGTGATATGCTTCACGTTCAAGAAGATGAGTCATATTGTACGGCTTGGTGAATGTCCTGCTGTCCTTTCTAAGGAGACCATCGGAAGGAGGGAGACAGAACCTGGCTGCCAGCCATCTGATCCGGGTGCTAGTCTAGCTTGGACAAAAGCCACTGAATCCTCCAGCAGCTCTCCACTTAGCAATTCACACAACACGAGTCTTGTCATCAACAATCTTGTGGATGGCATGTATTCAAAACAAAACAACGGTGGAGTGAGGCCAGGCCTCTTCAAGAACCCCATGCTGCAGTCAGAATTATCACATGGTCACAGGGTGCCCGATTCTTCGACTGCTACAACAACCCCCAAGGAAATATATCTGAAAGGAACAGCGGGAGAGGATACAAAAAGCCCTCATCACAGTGAGAATGAATGCAGAGTCTCTTCCGAAGCACAAAGGTCCCCGACGGTTGGCCAGTCCAGAAGCGGTTCCCAGGAGGCTGAGGACAGTATCCACCCAAACACCCAAGAAAAGTACAACTCTGCCACATCTTGCATCGACGAAGTTCAAGTCAACCTGTCCGTGTTAGGGGATGACGTGCTGCTTCCTGCTCAATCCATGCTTCAAACAAAGCATCCAGACATCTACTGCATTACAGACTTTGCGGAAGAATTAGCAGACACGGTTGTCTCCATGGCAACTGAAATTGCAGCGATTTGCCTTGACAACTCCAGTGGAAAACAACCCTGGTTCTGTGCATGGAAAAGAGGGAGTGAGTTTCTGATGACACCCAGTGTACCCTGCCGATCCTTGAAGAGGAAGAAAGAGAACCAGGGGAGCGGGGCCGCTGTGAGGAAACACAAGCCGCCCCGGCTCAGTGAGATCAAGAGGAAGACGGATGAGCATCCCGAGCTTAAAGAGAAGCTGATGAACAGGGTTGTGGATGAGTCCATGAACCTTGAGGATGTCCCAGATTCTGTCAACCTTTTTGCCAATGAAGTGGCAGCCAAGATCATGAACCTATCGGAGTTCTCTATGGTGGACGGCATGTGGCAGGCGCAGGGCTATCCCCGGAATCGCTTACTGAGCGGTGACAGGTGGAGCCGGCTGAAGGCCTCTAGCTGCGAAAGCATTCCTGAGGAAGACTCCGAGGCCAGGGCCTATGTCAACAGCCTGGGCTTAATGAGCACGCTGAGCCAGCCGGTCAGCAGGGCCAGCTCTGTCTCCAAACAGTCGAGCTGTGAGAGCATCACCGATGAGTTTTCCAGGTTCATGGTGAACCAGATGGAAAATGAAGGGAGAGGATTTGAGTTACTGCTGGATTACTATGCTGGCAAGAACGCCAGCAGCATTCTGAGCTCAGCCATGCAACAGGCGTGCCGGAAAAGTGACCACCTCAGTGTGAGACCAAACTGTCCCTCTAAGCAATCCAGCACAGAGAGCATCACTGAGGAGTTCTACAGGTACATGCTGAGGGACATCGAAAGAGACAGCAGAGAAAGCACCTCCTCCAGACGGAGCAGCCAGGATTGGACAGCCGGCCTGCTGTCTCCTTCTCTGCGATCCCCAGTGTGCCACAGACAGTCGTCCATGCCAGACAGCAGATCCCCATGCTCCAGGCTGACAGTGAATGTGCCCATCAAAGCCAACTCTTTAGATGGCTTTGCTCAGAACTGCCCACAGGATTTCCTAAGCGTGCAGCCGGTCAGTAGCACGTCCTCATCCGGTCTCTGCAAATCTGACTCTTGCTTGTATCGGAGAGGTAGGACTGACCACATCACGAACATGTTAATTCATGAAACGTGGGCGAGCTCCATTGAGGCCCTCATGCGCAAGAACAAAATCATTGTGGATGATGCGGGGGAAGCCGAGGCTGAGCCTGTTTCTGGTGGCTCTCCCTCGCAAGCAGAGACGTGTGCAAATAGATTAGCTGCCAGCAGGATGTGCAGTGGGCCAACTCTGCTTGTTCAGGAGTCTCTCGATTGCCCGAGGAAAGACTCTGTTACCGAATGTAAACAGCCCCCAGTGTCATCTTTGAGCAAAACTGCTTCTCTTACAAACCACAACCCTTTAGATTCTAAAAAGGAAACTTCCTCGTGCCAGGACACTGTAGCAATAAACCACAAAAGGCGATCACTTTGCTCGAGGGAAGTGCCTTTGATTCAGATTGAAACAGATCAGAGAGAAGCCTGTGCTGGGGAACCTGAACCCTTCCTTTCCAAAAGCAGCCCCCCAGAGGAAGCAGAAGAGCATTCGAATGACAAAAACATCTCAGATGTGGTGAGAGGTGGAGACACAGCCGTGAGCGCTTGTCAAATCCATAGGTGAGTGAATCGTCTCTTAGACTACATAGAGTGCATGTGATGGAGTTTGCATCTTAATCAGTGTTTAGTCTAAATTTTAGACATAAAGGATTTGATTGGTGCAAGAACTAAATTTTCAAAACCAAAAATAATGACCTCCTAGGTTAATATGCATTTATGGTAGAGAGTTGAAAGTAAATTTCTTCTTAAAATCTCCAAAGCAAATTAAACTCATCTATATAACCAAAGAAGTAAGATATAATTCCCCCATTAAAATTAATCTCCTGTGGTTTCCTACCTTTTAAAATTCATTCATGGCAATTTTTAAGCAAATAATAATCTTAATAATATATGATGCAATAATATTAATAATAAATGATGCAACTTATTCATTTGAAAACAGTTAAATTTAAATAAATATTAGTATTGGCATTTGACATTAAATATTTTGGCATCATTTTTCTCTCCTCTCCTTTTTCTTCTCCATAGAGTCTCTCCTTTCAAGTTTTGCTTTCTGTTTTTGTTTTTTGTCTTTTTCTAAAGATCTTGCCGAGGACACTGTGTCCCACAAGGGCTGGTCCTTTAGATGCCTGGTATAATTCTGGCAGTGTAAATGCAAAGCAACACTGAAGTATTGTTATTTAAACAGCTCTTTTCCAGAAAATTATGACGTAGTTGACAATCCATTTTGAATTTGACACAAGGTAATAATTTCTCTGAGGCTGCTTAAAGAACTCTCCGTTCGTTTTACAACTCATATTTTCTGTAGAAAATCTATAAGATCCTTGAATATGAGACCATTGTATCATTTCTTTAGCTTTGGTTTGTAGTTAAACAAAACAGGACAACAAAAAAGAAGCTAGTGGCCTTGGAAAATCTAAGTTGGAGAAGTCTTTTCAGAGACATATGCCTATATTGTTTATTATTTACCAAAAAGCCTGTGATTTTTAAATGTTTAGTGGCAATCAAGTTGAACACGGCCTTCATCAAATTTCAGCAGCTCTCTGAAAGTCTTTGATACTTTTCCACTTCCACCAGGGGAGAAGGGATTTATCCTCAGGTACCAGTGCTGCCCACTAGAGGGCATCATCACTGGTGTGGTTATGGTTGAGTGTATTTGGTACATAGTGTCTAGGTGGATTTAAATATTTCTTTTTTAGCCACTCAGTACTAAGAACTTAACTTTCCAATCAGATGAAACCCTGGAAGAATAAGGAGAAAGGATGAAAACAAAAGCAAAAGAACACAAAGCTAAATCAAATGACGTAGGCAGAGCTAACCCAGACGCTTTTTTATATATCAGTAGTTCTCCAGCTATAGACAGTATGTATCAAAGCATTTTATGTAGGTGATACGGAGAATTACAAATTTTTTAAAGCGATCAGAGTTAAAGAAACAAATTAGCTCATGTGTAATTCTTTAGAATTACCTTAACCTGAAATACAAGAAAGTGGAAAACCCTTCTTATAGAATCCAGATGCCTGACTTGGAGTCTTCTTTAACACAGATATCTTAAACCCAGCTGAGATTTTTAACCAAAGAGTGACTAGTTAGGGAACGTTCATGAAATAGTAGTTCTACAAGATTTATGGTTGTAGGCTGAGATCAAATAGCAATTGTCCCTGAAGTTGAATAAAATTCATTATACAATTGTGAATTAAATGTCACTGATATTATCCTTAAAATAGGATATATTGGAAATATGTGTGAATAAAGTCCCCAAATGGCTTAGGTTTGTATTACATAGAATGGCCCAAGAATATACCCTTTCAAATCGTGATTTCTGGTTTGGTTTTCCACTAATAAAACAAGAAAATGTGGAGTCATCCACCCTAGAAATTCAAGACCTACATCTGCTTCCAAAACATAAGGACTAAATATTGAAAATGTTTCTTTGTGGAACAATATAAAGAATTATTAAGAACATGGATTTCACTAACTTTGTAACTGTGCAACCTTGAGCAACTTCTCTGTTTACCAAAGTTTACTCACCTGTAGGTGGGAATAATAATTATCTTCTAAGAGGATCTTTAAGGTTTTATTAAGGAAATGCACATAAATCTCTCAACTCAGGGCCTCGCCTATTGTCATAAATGCTTGCTTTTTGGTTGTTGTCATTGCTGTTTGGGGTTAGGGTACATGATTGCCCTTATTCCAGGAATTTTTTTTTCCAAAAGAAATATCTTAAAGGCCGGGTGCAGTGGCTCATGCCTGTAATCCCAGCACTTTGGGAGGTCAAGGCAGGTGAATCACGAGGTCAGGAGTTCAAGACCAGCCTGGCAAGATGATGAAACCCTGTCTCTACTCAAAATACAAAAATTAACCAGGTGTGGTGGCAAGCACCTGTAATCGCAGCTACTCGGGAGGTTGAGGCAGAGAATTGCTTGAACCTGGGAGGTGAGGTTGCAGTGAGCCGAGATCATGCCACTGCACTCCAGCCTGGGTGACAGGGCAAGACTCTGTCTCAAAAAAAAAAAAAAAAGAAAAGAAAAGGAAAAGGAAAAAGAAAAAAAAGAAAAAGGAATATCTTATAAACATTACAAGGATTTTATTAAAACAAGAGAATTTCCAGATTTTGCTAGAGGGAAAATTAACCATATTTAGATTATTACATTTTCTAAGCTCAGAGATGTTATAGGATTTCATTAGTCAAAATAGCTAAGTACAAAACTCGCTTCTCCGTGAAGCAGTTCTTCTCCCTTACACACAAACAAGGTAAGTGGCATATGGACTCTTCATTTTGTTTGGAGATTGGGAGGTGTCATATCCTGAAAATAATTTTAGGCCACTTTCTTTAGGCATGTTTTCATGATTCTTACTTTAAAAAAATGTTATTTACACTCAATATGCTGAAATAAAAATCACTTTCTTACATTTTTGATAAAGGAATAACAACTTCAGAATTTATTGGACTTTTTGATAAGTTGAGACCACAAAGTATAAACAACAAACTGAGAATTCCGGACATTGATATGCTGTACTTACTGACATCATCTTATGTTTTAGAAACATATTTTAGGTTGTGTATCCATTTATATTTGCTTCAAGAAAAAAAAATTATTCATCCAACCAATATTTGAGTGTTTACTCTGACCAGCAATTGGCCTCAGGGCTGAAAACACAGAAGAAAATCGAAAGACTTGGTATCTACTCTCATAGTTCTTACACACGAGTGGGAGAGACAGGGGGAGTACATAGGAAAATCTTTTGAAAAAATATTATTGTACAGTGTGATGAGAGAAAAAAATCAAAAGTAATGTGGTAGCAAATAACTGGTAGGGAAAGTGGATACTTAGATAGGATGTTGGCATTTGAGATGAGACCTACAGGAAGAGAAGGTGCCAGCCGTGGGAAGAACGAGAATGATAGACTTGCATTTTAAGCATTGTGGTGATCTAGCCAGCCTGAAAAATGTTCCCACTATGAGTCACCTAGAGATCCTGGATTAAGTATAATAAACATCTTTTTAAGTATGAAGCTGATCTTTTTTTTTTTTTTTTTAAAAGAAAGACAAGCTATTGCCCAGAATGGTGAATGTAATAAATAACAATGCATTGTATATTTCTTTTTTTTTTTTTTTTTTTTTGAGATAGAGTCTCACTCTGTCACCCAGGCTGGCGTGCTGTGGTGCAACCACGGCTCACCACAGCCCCGACCTCCCAGGCTCAAGCAATCCTCCCACCTCAGCCTTTCAAGCAGCTGGGACTGTAGGTGTGTACCACCATGCCTGCCCAATTTTTAAATTTTTTGTGGAGATGGAGATCTCACTCTGTTGCCCAGGCTGGTCTCAGACTCCTAGGCTCAAGTGATCCTGCCACCTCAGACTCCCGAAGTGCTGATATTACAGGTGTGAGCCACTGTGCCTGGCCTGTATATTTCAAAACTGTTAAAAGATTAGATATTAAATGCTTTCACCACAACAAAATATAAGTATGTGAGGTGCTAGATTTGTTAGTGTGACTTAATCATTCCACAAGGTAAAACTATATGAAAACATCACAGTATATACCCCATAGAATTGATACAATTACTGTCAATTTAAAAGATTGACAAGCAGGTGTGGTATATTCCCCATAGATTTGGATGTTTGGCACCCCCGTCTAAAACAGCAACCCCTAAGAGCCCTTATCTGGAGAGATGGAAGCAGAACGCTGTCTGCCATTTATGATTTACCCTCGTTTCTATATCCTCAGGAATTATTTTATTTACCCTTATTTGCAAGGCTAATCTTAACAATAGTAATTATAAAAATTTCAGAGGTTAAAAAAAAGAATTTGAAAAGGTAGTAAATTAAAGCTGACTCTGCTTGCCCTTGAGGGTATCTACCAATCTCTGTAGCCTAAAAATTCATTTTCTAAAGGCTAGTGGAAACCAGGAAATGAGGGTCCACAAGTGGTGAAGACTTGGAACTGAGACAGACTTCCCCATCCTCAAGGGTTACAACCTCAGTAAAAGTGTGAACTATGGAAAAAGTTCACCTACCAGAACAGTGAACTGATTAAAAAAAAAAAAAAAAAAAAAAAAAGGGGTGTCTTTCTGGGTTCCAGCTCTGGGTACGAGGAGAAAACAATACCCTGGAGAATTTATGACCACGGCTTACCCTAATGTGTTTTTGCCATTCTAATTTGCATTATACTTGTGGTCCAGGAAATCCCAAGCTGGTGAGTTACCTTAAAGCAATCTCAGGCTAACAACCCTGTGAGAGCTTGGCAGAGACAAAAGTAAAATCTCTGGAGAGTTAAGCCCAGTCTTAAAGGATTTCAACAAATAAAACCCCATCAAATATGAGCTCAGAGTCTTAAACTGAGAGACACACAAGGAATCAAGGCACTGTAAGAAAGACTCAGCACAAACATGAAGAGGCAGAATTAGCCCCATCGAAGTTCTCAGACACTGGAATTATTAAATACAGAATGCAAAGTACTTATGTTTAATATTTGGAAAAAATGAGACATACAAAATAGGAGCAAGAAACAAACCACCGTCAGAATAGAATAAGGTAGATATAAAAATCAATCAAA